AATGAGAATAGAGAGACTAATGTCGGAATACTGAAACGTTACTCAATTTTAAGTCGTGCTCAAATATCGTGCCATCTCTGTCATTTGACAAAGAATTTGTAGAGATAGAACTATACTTAAGCACGACTTAAAATTGAGTAGCATTTCAGTATTCCGGCATATGTGACAGAGCCATATTGATAATTTATCTTTAAACATTTTGTTTAGCAACTTAATAATCTACTATACCAAGTTATCCATTGTATCTGTTGTATTATTGATTCGAAATCTTGTTAGAACACAATAGTACACTTGAAGTGCCATTGTGTAATAAATGGACATATAAATAAATTTTCATATAGCTAATAATTTTCATAAAGCCTACTTACAATAAACTGTATCAAACTTGGTGTAGGATTCTTCAATGCATTAAGGTCTATATTATCTGGTGGTATGTTCATGAACTCCTTCATAACTTTGGGCTCTGGGAAGGGAGCCCCGCAAGTTAGGGCGCGGTTACGAAGTGACAGTTCGCGCTTTACTTCTGACACCTTCGTTCTGAAAACAAGAGAAGAAAAAAGAATTATAATGAGAGATAATGAAGGTTTCCGAATAATTTTAATCAACACGTTATACGCCATGGGGGTCACCGATGACCGGCGTCAGCGGAGGATTTATCTTCAACAGTTTTTTATTGGCAGTCAAAGTCTTAACTATACAATGTCTTCTAGCTAGGGCACACAAAACCATTGACAAAATATGACAACATTTTAAACCAATAATTTCGTTTATCTATTTAAACTATACAAATAGCATATAACATAGTTCACAAACTTCTATTTATCTAACTTACAATGTCTGTGGAATCTAGCACCTAATTTTTGAAGCAGACATTTTTAACAGGGTGTAAACGGAACGCTCCCAAAACGCTGACAATAAGAAACTGTTTTTACAGTTTTAGTCGTTTTTGTTTTCATTGACTGCCTCGTTGGCCGAGTGGTCCCAAGTGCGACTGCCTGGCAAGGGGTCTCGGGTTCGATTCCCGGGTCAGGCAAAGTATAACTGGGTTTAAAAAAATCTCAGTAGTAGCACGGAGTCTGGAATTGTGTCCGGTATATGGCAATAGGCTCACCCCCTATCACATGGGACTCATAACATAAATAGTGAAAAGTGGGTGTTACATTAAACAGTGGCATAATGTGCACCTCTGCCTACCCCTTCTAGGATAAAAGGCGTGATGTTATATTATGTTTTCGGGTTATTTATTAATTCCTTACTTTTATGGAAATAAAATTTACCATCACCTGTCGGCTTTTTCGGGAGCGTTCCGTATACACCCCGTATTGTGACATAATTTTCATGACATTGTCCAATCAAAATGATGTAAAAGCTTGCCGCCCGAGTTACTATTGTATGACTGACTTATGTCCAGTGTCCTTACAGCCGCGATGCGTGGCACAGACGGGGCAGCCAGTCTTGCCGTGCGGCCGGCCGAAGTGACCACATCGCTCGCAGCGGCCAGGCGCAGCCAGCCAACGGGTCTGTTCTTCATAGCGCTCGGGATCCGTCACCCAAGACAGTAGTCTGGTAAAATGATCAACCAATATTAAAACTTATATAAATTAATAATATAAAACCTCTTTTAACTCGTCGAGTACCGGTTTTGTAGACACAATTATAGAACAATAGGTTGCGGTCACCGGTGACCGCTTGGTGTTTGACAGTTTAAATGTTATGTATGCATGTTATTTTAAAAGTTCCATCTAAAAATGAGCGGGGCTTTTGACATACACCAGGCACATTTTCACATTCTATGTACAAAATAATAAATTTTTAAAATAAAAATGCCAATTTTTATAATGCCATTTTTACGTAAAAACTAAAAACTTTACTTACCTAGGTACAACATCGTTCTCCTGGATGGTATGTAGGAATGATACGACAGTGGTCGTTGAAGAACCACACGCACCAACTCCATAGTCGCACCCACAGAGCAGAGCCAGCGCCACCATTTTGTTGCGGCCGAAGCCTGCAATAAATAAAGAAATAATAATGCAATAAATATATTATTCTAGCATTGCAAAAAATAACATTAGAAAGAATACACATCTGACTTTTTGAGTTGTCGATCATATATTTTTTATCAATAACTAGCTTCTGCCCGCGACTTCGTACGCGTAATCCCATTTTTCCCCGTCCCCGTTCGTGATTTTCGGTCAAAAGTAAAAAAGAAGTATTGGTTAAAAAGTATCCTATGTCGGCCTCCTGGCTCTAAGCTACCTCCCTACCAATGTTCAGCCAAATCTATTCTGCCATTCTTGAGTTATAAGTGGTGTAACTAACACGACTTTCTTTTATATATATAGATTTGTTTTTTCCAATCTACGCCACAGCAAAATGTACCTTAAGATTTTGTCCACAAACTTGAACTTACAACAACATACCATTATGCTTGAACATAGCGTCAGCATCGTAACAGTCGACGGAGCCCTGCATCGCGCCGCCTCCGGCCGCGTTAGATACGCTAAAGTTACGATACACGCGCCGAGCACCGTAAGCAAAGCAATCTGAGTCTTGAGAAACTACAGCATCAACCACCTGTAAATTATGACAAAACTATAGTAAATTATACAGATATGCTTATGGAGTAAACCAAAACCCCTAATAGTTGACGGTACGGTTGGCGCGGTGGTTGGGCAACTGGCTGCCGCGCAACGTGTCGCGGGTTCGATTCCCACACGGAACAACTCTTTGTGTGAACCACATATTGTTGTTCCGGGTCTGGGTGTGATGTGTATGTGAGCTTGTATGTTTGTAAACGCACTCACGCAACAGGAGAAAATCCTAGTGTGAGGCAATATTATTATATTCTTTAAAAAAAAAAAAAATAAAAGTTATTGAGCTCAATCTTCAGGACTTCACACCAAATCGCTAGTAGCCATTTTGTGTATGTATTCGTTTTGGGGAGATTTATGTCAAGCAGTGAACAAAAAGGATTGGATGATGACGATATAAATATCGTAGGTACAACATAAAACAATTACGAAATCAAAAACTGACTAATAAAACAACAACAACAACTGACTAAAAAAATCAAAAACTACTTTGAATAATCTTGAAAGCAATAACTATCAAATTAATCATTATTTAAAAGTCAAGTAAATAAATACAAACACCTTGGGCATTTAACTGAGCACATGTTGCTTCAGCCTCTCCGGAGCCTTTCACACAGCGGACACCCAGAGTCTTTAGTAGGGATTCACACTAAAAGCAAATAAAAATATTAATTTTATACGGTTAAAACTTAGTTATTCTTATTATTAAATCTTTTGAAACACAGGTTAAAAAGAGGCCATTTATATATAAGTTGATGTGGGCAGTATTGTAACTACAGGATGGCAAGTTGGCAAAATGCCTTGGGCCCCTTGCTAGCTTATCTGACCTTTTTTGTTTTTAATTAGGAACTGGAGCCCATCCAATGAATTTGCCACGGCCCTTAAACTGTCTAACACCAAGCTGTCACCGGTGACCACAACCTATTGTTCTTTAATTGTGTCTATAATGACGGTACTCAACGAGTTAAGGGTATAGTTACACCACTGAATGTGGGACATCACTAAAAATTCGAGTTAACCAGAAAGCAAACATCTTATACAACAACTTGCAAGACACTTTCTAAACAGTTCAAAACACTGCAGCAATAAAATTGATATATGTACAAATAAATAAATACCTAATAAACTTACTTCTTTAAGAACATTTTTGAATCTCTTCCTAGCGACATGGGGTTTTTTCTTTGCTATTGCAGTGTCAGATCTTGGAGCAGCTCCCCTGAACTGAATAGCATTGCGGGCAGCCATGACGTCCCTCTTCAACTCTGGAGCGTCACCCTCCAGCACAAATACTGGGTTTATATCAGCTAACACCAGGTAAACAGTTCTGAAGAAGAGGTTCCTGAAATGAGGACCAAAACCTTTTATAATTCATAGATTAATTTAAGGTGAATGCCTAGAAAAGTTTATTAAATTGAGTTCTGTTATTTACAGGATATGTTTCTAATCCTGTAACATGTCTTAGACATGATTAGATGTGTAGTGTAATGTACACCTTTTTTATTTTATCACATCCATTTTTTGTTTTTGCTCGATTGCAAGATTTTTATTTGGAGTGTTTTTTTGGAGGAACATGCATTACACAATAAATAAATTAGTTTTGATAGTAATTACCTTAGGTATAATTTTGGTTGTATATGGTAATCCGTGACATTCTGACTGTCGCAAATCCATCCTGATAAATCAACAGCAACAGTTTCACCTCTAATCTGTAATACGCAAAAGAAATATATTATTTAATGAAATACATGTCTTAACAAGCATGCACTAAGGCAAACAGAAGAAAAATATTAAGCTTACTTCGTGTAAAGCTTTTTTTTCGCTGTAAGGCGTTAGCACCGTCCACAGACCTTTTATGCCCATGTTACTTTACTTCAGCTCTACTTATTCGAGTCGTAGGCACAGTTTTATACAGACACCATACTACATATTAGTGTAAATTACTTGTCTTGTTTTGTTCAACACATTTTTAAATAAATGGGCGGCACTTTGCATAGTGCAACCCAATAACGTAACGACTTTAATAAATTCATTTCATATTAACAATATTGCATTAGTCAGACTATATTGTACCCTATTCCTGTACAACAACTACAATTTTTGCTTGGCAAAAAATCAAATTAAAACAACGTATTTACGTTATTTGACGTCCGTAATGACATTTAAAACTGACGTTAAAAATGTGGGTTACCAACAAACTATAAATGAAAGTTGGTAATAATATTTTTAATAAACGCTTATAAAGCTCAAAGAGATTAGTTTTACATTAGAAAACTGAATTCCAAAATACTAAATGTAGCAATAACTTGATAAGTTAAAGTTACATTTAAGCATCTAACTAGAAATCGTTATTATTATCACTGACAATATAAAACATAGGCAACCCTACGGTATCAAAACAAAATAATCTCTGTAAATAAACTTTATTTTGTATTCGTAAGTGAATTTTAATCGCAAATAAAAATGATGCAACTAAATGTTTATTCATAATAATCCCTTATTATGATCACACTGATCAGTTAGTTAATCGTAGTAATAGATAAGTTTAGTTTTCAGCGCTAAAGTACAAGTTTCAAAAGTTGACTTTGTGAAGTTAAAAATTGCTAATGAGTTGATAAGAATATGATAATTATTTCGGTGGTGATAGTATCGTTACTCAGCGTTATCAGTTCGTGGTTGGGCCTGCGACCGACGTAATCACGAAACACGTATTCGAACCTATCTAAGAAGATAAGAAAAACTGTGATTTAATTGCTGTGTAACAACTCTTATTAATTTTAGCCATGTCTTATATAAGGCATTTGTATAAAAATGGGTAAGTTTAGTAAATTTTTTTATAATGATATTATAGATAATATAGTCATTAATGTGTGTTTCATTGTCATTAATTTTCTGGATTCATGTTTCACTGAATAATTAATTTTTACTTGAGTTTTTCTATACAACTGTGCTTCACTATCACAGCATTCATAAAAATGGTGCAGATATTCTTGCATGAAGTCAAAAATACCTGCACCATTTTTATGAATAACAATTTAGTAATTAGGTATTGCATTTTATAAACTAGACAACATTATTCTCTGAAAATTATTCCTTTGCAGCGTTTCACTGCGATTGCAATACCCTGCAAGGTTCTCGCATGCCCAGCAGCTTAAGGAGGATGTGCCGAGAAGAGAGATCAGTAAAGTGCTCATAGCTAACCGTGGTGAGATAGCATGCAGAGTGATGAAAACTGCTCGGAAACTGGGTGTGAGGACAGTCGCTGTATACTCTGATGCTGACAAACATGCTATGCATGTTGAAATGGTAATATAGACTACTTTTAGTGTACTCTTTCACTACACAATAATAGGGATGATGACAGGGTATGAAAATTAAAAATCTAATTAGTCTGTCAGTTAGGTAATGAAAAAATATTAGACAGATATTTTTTTTAAGAAAACAACACTTAGACAAAACGAATCAAAGTTTAGGAGTGGGAGGTAGCTAAGTCATTAAAATCATACTCAAAAGTGACATCATGCGATATTTCAAATCAACATATCTTCATAACTACCTATTTGTTTACATAAGAAAATAAAAAATATGTGTTCTTTTTAAATAATCTACCAGACGGACATTAAAATAAAAATTTGTCATCCACCCTATTGTGTTCAGTGAAATGACTAGTCTCTTGATGTGTATGTTATTTGACATAGAAAATATTAGCAAACATTTGCATTATTTTATTCTTTTCAAACTTTAATATTATGCAGGAAGGTGGATATTATAATGAAATTACTGGCAGCATACAAATTTTTTGCTTTACAACAGTTTACATAATGTTTATTAAACTGTCAAACACCAAGCGGTCACCGGTGACCGCAACCTATTGTTCTATAATTGTGTCTATAATGACGGTACTCGACGAGTTAATCAGCCTTTGTTATCATAGTTACTGTAAATCTGTTTGTCAATTGAAAATGTATCTAATGTACAGTCATGAAGTTATGGTTCACTTTTCCACTTAAGATCTTTGTTGAATTCATCATTGAAATATTTATCAATTTTTTTGTAGATACCTACCCAATAATTATCTTGTCAAAAACTTGTTTACTTCATTGTTGATAGTTTTATATCATGTATTTAATTTTTAGGCAGATGAAGCATACCATATAGGGCCGGCGCCATCCACACAAAGTTATCTAAATGCAGCTAAAATATTGGAAGTAGCAAAGAAGTCTAACAGCCAAGCCATTCACCCCGGGTATGGTTTCTTATCAGAGAATGTGGAGTTCTGTGAAAAGTGTGCCAGTGAGGATGTTATATTTATTGGACCTCCTCCCGCAGCTATCCGGGATATGGGTATCAAGAGGTAAGTTAATTGTTCAGATGACTTATTGAAATCTTAATTGATTTTACTGACTAACACAGGTAGGTTTATAAGAATGTACTTAAATGTTCAATCCCCAAGTGGTCATCGGTGACCACTGTAGACCTTATTTCCGATGTTTAGAGGCTACTTTTGTATGAACAAATTTTGGAGATTTCCAGTATGATATATCAACATATAAAGTCATATAATGTTATTTTTCTTTCTCAAACTGTCTTGATTTGGTAGTCAAGGTAGGCCACCATGTGAAGAAATTGTAAGTATTTCGTAATTGGGAGACCCTGGTAATCATTGTCCTATTCCTTGTATAGCTTCTTGGACATTGTGTAAACTAGCTTTATAGAATGTTTTATTGTCTTATTGATTAATAGGTAATTGTGACTTAATTGCAGCACATCCAAAGCAATAATGTCTGCGGCTGGAGTTCCCATTGTCAAAGGTTACCATGGTGAGGAACAGAGCATAGAGAAGCTACAGGCTGAGGCACAGAGGATCGGATTCCCTCTTATGATCAAAGCTGTGCGAGGTGGTGGAGGAAAGGTACAATGCATAGAATTTGTAATTTTAATCATTTGTTCCCATGACAAAATACTATAGTATTTTTTACATATTTGATGGGCCGACGTTACTATCTATCTCGCTATAGTAAGCGTAATCATTTTATGTTACGTCTGAAACACACACGTCAGTCAAGAGGTCCTGACCGACCTGTCTTAGGACTACTCCGATCTTCTTTTGTCAATGTGTATGTTTCATAACTGTAGATACTTTCCGAATTCAACTTGTTACATGTTACTTTACGGAACCATAAAGATGTCCTCGTTTAAATTATTCTTTTTTTGTAAAATCTAAGAGTTTTATTCTTTTTTTCCAGGGCATGAGGATAGCCATGACTGAAGCAGACTTCCTGCCACAACTGGAGTCAGCTAAGCGTGAATCTCTTAAATCATTCGGCGATGACAACATGCTCCTAGAACAGTATATCACAGACCCAAGACATGTTGAAGTTCAGGTACATATGACTTACTTAACTTTATGTCCTGTATCCCCGAGACGAAACAGAAGGCATTCACAGAAGTCCTCCATACTACCTACACACGGTAGTCCTAATTATTAAATAAATTGAATGAATTTCATGTATTCACTTATTACTGCGAATTTGTTCCAGGTATTTGCTGACATGCACGGTAACGCGGTCCATCTGTTCGAGAGAGATTGCTCAGTACAGAGACGTCACCAGAAGATCATCGAGGAGGCACCAGCGGTACCTATACTTAACTTATTACTTGAGTAATTTCGTAGTTAACGACGTAATAACTACTTGTGTTAACGTTACATGGGTATCAATACTAGCAAGCAGATATATTGATTTTTGATCTGACGTTAATCCGATCGCGACTAACGTCTGACGGAAAGTAAAACGAGCTGATATAAAAATCCAATCTAAATAAGTATTTAATAGGCCTAATAATTTATTAATGTCTGTGACATTAATAAATAAATAAACATTTTTATATTCCAGCCGGGACTATCAGAAGAGACGCGCAGATCTCTGGGCGAGGCCGCAGTGCGCGCCGCTAAGGCAGTAGGCTACGTGGGCGCGGGTACTGTAGAGTTCATCCTACACCGACAGACTCACGAGTTCCACTTCATGGAGATGAACACTCGTCTGCAGGTTGAACATCCCATCACTGAGATGATAACTGGCAAGTAAAATAAAAGTATTTTGATAATAACTTTTCGGCTTACTCACGTAATTATTTGACGAGGAACTCGACTAGTTTCAAGCCGTGCTAGAAGCTCATATTCATGAGCAGCATTTCGCGACCCGCGACGCGGCGGCTGTCGTGCTGCTACTAGTCAAATAATTACGTGAGTAAACCGAAAACATATTAATTTGAAATAAAAGTATTTTGATTGATTGTTAAGGGTATTCTTTAAGGAAACAGCGTAACTCCTCTGATGTTACAGTTATCAATGAGTGGCGCTTATCGCTTACCAGCAAGTGATCTATCTGTTCGTTGGCCTCCTATCCCAATGTATAACAGAATACTCCACAGTCATTATAAGGCACTATGTTTTTACTTCATCACTAATTTACACGTAGTCGAGCGGGCTACTTGTTACCAAGAAATACACTACAACGTGTACGTACTACGTAACCGCTTTATTAAATGGAAGAAGAAATGCAACACAAAATTAACTCACTAAAATGTTCTTTGCAGGGACGGACCTAGTAGAATGGCAGCTACGCGTGGCAGCAGGAGAGCAGTTGCCTCTGTCGCAGGAACAGATCATCCGCCGAGGGCACGCCGTGGAGTGCAGGATATACGCCGAGGAACCTCGCGCCGGGTTCCTTCCCCGCGCCGGCACTCTGCACCGACTCACACAGCCTATCCCTGAAGAGTTTGTCAGGGTCAGTTATTATTATTATTGTTTGCTTTAACAGCATATTATATGCATTACTGAAAAGTCTGTTAGTGCTTAAGTGCATTGTTTAAATAAATTATAAATACCTAAATTAACTATTTAAGAAACAATGAACATCTTCCAGCTGATGATTTTTAGTTCTAACTCCTAATCCAGTAAAAAATGTGCTTTCGTTTACTATGTAGATTCAGGGGATTTTCAGATCCCGTTTCTATATAGAAATTGTCAATAATTTCTACCGTTTGATATTCCTTCTATTATTTCAGTTCTTTTTTCAACGTTTGGTATTGCGTCTTAGTTTCACTTGATACATCATGTCTCTACACCAGGTGGTGTCAGCTATCAGCGCGATTCATCATAATCATTTCATGGACCTGAACCTCATCTATGAAAATACCCCTAAAACTTCACAGAGGGAGCTCTCAAAACCGCCATGGCGCCTCCATTACCTGACAATATTTCCCGCCTTATTCCCTTACCATCCAACGTCGAATAATGTGCATTGTAAGCGATAGATGGAGCTACTTTACTCTTCTATAAAAAGTTTTGTATAAATGGGAATTTTACAGTGTAGAGTTATCAAAACCCTAAAATAATTTATTGGTCCTGTAAAATCCTTATCCATTTCCTGTAAATGCTTACTTCACCTTAATCTATACTAATATTATAAAGAGGAAAACTTTGTTTGTTTGTTTGTTTGGTTGTAATGAATAGGCTCAAAAACTACTGGACCGATTTCAAAAATTCTTTCACTATTCGAAAGCTACATTATCCACGAGTAACATAGACTAAATTTTATTTTGGAAATAAATAGGGTTCCGTAATATACTTGGGTTTTTCGGACACAAGGTGTAAAAAATCAACCAGAAAAGTTACTTATTTTGCGTACGCTGCCTAAACTATAAAAGATAGAACTATGAAATGTTCTAATTAGTTGTAGATCTTATAAATATCTACAAAAAACTCCGCGACACACTATACCTATCTATGTCGAGTGAGGCACAACAACCATTTTTTAAATCAAAAAACTTGAATTTTTTTGAACTACTTTTAAACGCATTTATTTTACTCATTCTATTAATCCTTATCAAAATAATTTATTTCATCATTAAGTACAGTTAATGTAGATGATATTTGGTCTTTGAATGATTAAAATTGGATGTTTAGTTTCGAAGTTATGGCGAAATTAAAATATCACGATTTCTGCTGCACGGCCCGTTGCGAAGTGAGCGTCACCAGTGCGCGTGCGGGAGGGGAGTTGAACCGTACTTTAAAAGACCTCCGAAGCTCTGCTAATGTCATGGGTGGTATCACTTTTGTATTTGCTGGAGATTTCCGACAAACGCTTCCAGTCGTCAACAGAGGTACGCGAGCAGATATTATGAAGGCATGTTTAAAATCGTCTCAACTTTGGACATCTGTGCAACATTTGAATTTGCGCACCAATATGAGAGCTCGTCTATATGGAAATACGCATAGCAATTTTCCACAACAGCTGCTGAAACTTGGAGAAGGAATTTTTCCATCTTTAAATTTGGGCACCGATTATGCAGTTACTTTGGATGAGTCTCTAGGCCAAATAGTCCATAATTTAGATAATCTAATAGATGCTATATATCCTGACATCGAAAACTTACATCAAAATGATTTTCGTTGGCTGTGTTGTAGAGCAATAGTTTCTCCCAGAAATGAAACAGTCAACGAAATAAACAATTTAATTATGCAGAAAGTACCGGGTGAATTTAAGTGCTATAAATCCATAGACACCGTCACTAACATTGAGGACGCAGTGCACTACCCTCAGGAATTTTTAAATTCCCTGAACCCCGCTGGGCTACCACCTCATGAACTGTCGTTAAAAGTTGGCACGCCGATAATGCTTCTCAGAAACTTAAGCCCCCCCAACATGTGTAATGGCACGAGACTTCTTATAAACGAGCTAAAAGATAATTTAATAGTAGCGAAGATTATCACCGGCCCTGCAGCTGGTGAATTAGCTCATATACCAAGGATACCCATGATTCCTACTGATTTGCCTATACCCTTCAAAAGACTGCAATTTCCAGTCAAAATTTCTTTCGCACTAACGATAAACAAATCCCAGGGCCAAACATTCAAATTAGTAGGAATTGATTTAAGAAAAGAATGTTTTACGCATGGGCAACTTTACGTTGCTCTATCACGGGTCGGGACTCCCGACCATCAGTATATTTTGTTACCTGAAAATAATTTAACGTCAAATGTTGTTTATAGAGAAGCTCTACAATAATCACTTTAGGTAGGGGTAGGGGTAGGGTAGGGGTAGGGGTAGGGTAGGGTAGGGGTAAGGTAGGGGTAGGGTAGGGGTAGGGATGTAATTTACAGAATTATACCTGGACGAAGTCAGGGCGGGCCGCTAGTCATAAATAATGAAGTTAGTTTTCATGAGATGTGTTTGTTCTAGGTGGAGACAGGTGTGCGTGAAGGACAAGAAGTGTCAGTGCACTACGACCCTATGATCGCTAAGCTTGTAGTGTGGGGTCGGGACCGAAGTGAAGCGCTTGCCAAGACCAGGGCCAAGTTGTCCGAGTACCAAGTAAGTGAACCAACGTGGCTTGCATACTCTTACAGAGGTATACTATAAATTAAAGCTGTTAAACATGTGCATTGACAATGAATTTCAATGATGTCATCAGGTAGCAGGTTTAGAGACGAACGTGAACTTCTTACTTCGGCTGAGCGGCGCGAGTGCGTTCGTATCAGGCGACGTGCACACTGCCTTCATTCCGCAGCACGAGGCCGAGCTGTTCCCGGCCAGCGACAACGTGCTCAGCGAGACCCGCGCCATACAGGCCGCGCTCGGACATGTACGTATACATACTGCCTTCATACTGCAAAACCGCCTAGCTTTAGAGCAACAAGAATAGGGACTATTGTTTACTCTAGTGGCTACTATTAGGACCTACAGAGGGACACCGGGTCCTCAAATAAACCAGCTCCGAAGCCCTTTCTGTGCAACGTCTTAACGGCACTATTTTAAGGAGATATAACATGCCTGGCGTTTATTTATAGATATTTAACAGTTGTAAAAGAACATTGTATTTGTTTGTATCTCGTAGCTGCTGACAAATCAAGTAGCAAGCACTGTCCAAGACAACTGGAAGGGAATCTCAGTGCAGCCTCAGTCTTGGAGACCCAACTATGAGCTGCAGAAAACTATACCGTTGAGGTTTGATGAAAAAGGTAATCACTATTTATAAACTATAAATTTTACACACCACTATGATTTTATTCATAAATTACTTTTGGCTAATGTTTTATGCATGTTCCTGAAATTAGCTTTCGTGTAAGTCTCATATATGTTTTTTCTTAATACTGCCCTAGACTCTATTATTAATATTGCGATACTATACACTGCAGTTTCATTTAGTTAATTTCTCTGATCATCCAATATAGCATTCAAATTGCGAGTCAGACTGGCATTATGTACCTATGTCTTCAAACATACCATTTAAATACGCCACAACAATGTCCTTATAATCTACGTTTGATAGTTTAAAATATTACAATTTATTCCCAGACTTAAAAGTAACAGTGAAATACGAATCCGCCCCGAACACGTACAGCGTGAAAGTGAATGACGGGGAGTGGAGGCAGGTGGAAGCGTCACTACAGACCACGGAGAAGGGGCTCCGACTGAACACCCTCATTGGAGACAAGAAGACCAATGTCGGTCTACTCACTCACGACACACAGGTGCACGTGTATGATGAGGTAAGATATAGTAAACAGCATTTATCAAACCATAGTATAGTAGAATATATGTCCCAGTAGCGGTATAGAGAAGAAGGAAGAGTATATCAGGAGCGGGGGTCGTAAGAACCGATTGACAGACACCGGACATGCGCTCTCTGTTAAACCTGAACCTTTAAAACTTCTATGTCCTATCCACTTATCATGTGTGGCGACTATCACATACCCTGTTATGTAGAGGAGATCCACAGCCTGGCGATAGACTATCATTGGCTGTGGATTACTATTGATCTAGCCAGCAATATTTTGTCATAGTTGGTTTAAAATACGGTTCATATTCACGTTGTGTACTAAAAGTCCTACTTTAGACATATTTTCTCTGATGGTATGCTCGAATTTAAGTATGGAAATCTGCCATTGTTCGTTTCAGGCGTTATAGAACAATTTTCAGAACTTAAAAGGCTTAAATGCTGATTTTCAAAAGTAATCAAGAGAAGTTTAGAAGATGTAAGCATTGCACCTAATAAAAAGTGTTTACTGGCTCAACAACATCTAAGTAAACGACCTTTATTAGGCTACAGTATTTGTTTTGAATCAAGGAGGGCCAAGGCTTTATGCTATATGAGTGGTATACAAGGAATTATCCTTTTAATGTTTAGTTTACAAGATATTTGAGACATTTTATTTATAGCAAATGCTGATTATATTTTTTGCTCACCAAAAACCAAAAGGCCCTTTCGATTTCTACCGTATGAAAAAGTGAAAGGGAAACCAATGAATTGATAACTTAATAGATAATCTTATCAGTGTATGCTAGCAAATAGGTCACATATTCCAAAGCTATTATTATAGCAGATATACTAATGCTATAGCAGATTGTTGGGTATATAACTTTGTTTCTATAGTCAACATGTAGATAACAAAGAAATATGCATTATTATCTTCTGTTCATAGAAAAATATAATATTCTATAATTTTTTTTTGTGTCAAGTAACAACTTCTATGTAAGAATACAAAAATACAATTATACAAAATGATCCTAATCAAAATATATGGGTGAATTGCATTAGTGCATTAATAATTTTAAACTTGAAACAGTTATGGTAGTGACGCATTTTATTTCAGAAAACAATATTTCATTGAACCTTAAAAAACAAAATGTGTAATTAGTTTTGCGTTCCTTGGAATTTAAAATTGCAATATATGCATAAGTTCGTCCACTTGACGTCGACAAAATAGAACTGGAGATCCAGTTCTATTTCGTCGACCTGTTACACAATGAATTACGACACCAGCTATGTAAAAATGAATATTTCGGTTAGCGGACACTGCCCACGCGACAAATCATCTTCATATGTCATTTTTGTCACAGAATGGTCAAACAGTAGTGGAGTTGCCTCGACCCAAATACCAGGCGACTAGCGTGGACACGGCGGCGGCGGCCAACAGCGCGTCCTCGCCCACTCCCGGCGTGCTGGAGAGGATACTGGTCAGCAAGGGGGACAAAGTGAGTCAATGTCGTCGCCCTCATAAACTACACCATTCATTTATTACAACTAAAGCGGGAAATGCATAAATGTATCATTGTTTCCGCCCATTGACTAATGTATTTGCATTTGTCTGAGGAAACATTGATGCAATTACTGCATTGTTGGTCAACTGGCCAATAAGTGTGACTACCAAGCGCATGCCGACCACAAAGCCAACGTCTGATTCTCCAGGTTGAGTTTAGACGATAACTTAAGCTGTAATTATTGGAGCAGCGGAAGGGTTACCGCGTTTCTGGCTCGAAGAGCAGAAGTAGGAACAGGGTAGTTTTTAGTCAGTAAGAGTCTGATACTCCCTTTCCCTCCCTCACTCAAGCCGGGCGGCTCCTGTTACTGGATGATTTCCTCCTGATGCAAAAAAAAAGCTTTAATTATTGCATTATGATAAGTAGACAACCATTTGACGTGTATGTTCTAAACAATGAAACCGAGAGTAAACTGTAACAACTTATTTAGGTGGTGAAAGGCCAGCCCCTGTTTGTGGTAATAGCCATGAAGATGGAGTATGTGGTGCGTTCTCCTCGGGACGGAGTGGTGGCAGGCCTGGCACCTTTCAAGCTCGGGGACTCCGTCGGCAAAGGGGCCCAGGTCGTCATGCTAGAGGGGGACAGCTGAACACAACAGTCACACTTCTGCGAAATATTAATATAGGAATGCTTTGTCGAACCAACGCTAACGATAAGTACGACTTACCCATTTTTTCAAACCTATTCATGAAACAAAAGTTTTTAATAACAGAACAATTCAAATTCCCAAAATTCGTTTCTGGCTATCGACTAACTATTGTGTTGTAGAATGTCATTTACTGCACAAATAGAATGTCGCAACAAAAAAGCCTTTGTTACTAACGGAAAAGAATTTTGGGATGTTTAAAGTAGAGACCGCGCGCCAAAAGTATTTCAGGAAGAAATAAACTCGTTGCTGAGCCAATAGATCCTAGATTCTCTCCCGAACAATGGCCTGGCGCGGTGTTATTATGGTGCTAAGAATTCAGACTGTGGACGCCTGTCCTTACAAGGTGGGCAACCCATCGGTCGCTCAGCTTATTTAGCGATCCGCGCCCATTATGAATAATGTGTGTGAATGAATAATTGTAATGAGGACAATGATTCTGTTGCCATTCCATATTAGTGTGTATGTAATATAAGAATTAGTCAAATGTTCTACTTGCCAACCATCACGTCAAATATTTAACCTAAGATTATCTACTTTATTAATATAAATCGCATATTTTTGTACGTACTTTTTAAGAGCTTAGTTAATTAAACTAGTCACTTTGAAATGAAATGTCTACACATGTTGCTATATAATTATAAATATTTTTATAATGACTTTTGATAGAAATGTTAAAAATTGTTTACGTTGTTAATCATTCCGCGTTAAAATATACAATTATTATACAAAACATGAAAGGAAGTATTATTGAAATCACCCGAGGCCCGAGTAGCACACTACACACCTACAGTAATTACAGCTAGTGAAGGACGCGCAGTAATTAATGAATATTTAATACACCAGCAAACATCCTGATCAAGCTGACAACATAACAACACTAACAGTATCATACAATCCTGTTAGTAACACACCTCGATGAATTATTGCTGTTTTACGAATAATTATTTAAGTATTCATAATAAATAACGCTATTTTGCTCGTTTTCTGATGTTGGCGTATGATTCCTTACGAAATATTAAGAATAATGATTCGAGTGTATCTTCAAACAATGTTATCTTGACCTACGATCTGTCTGGAATGGTTCGTTGTAAAAAACAAATGAAACCATGGTAATGTTCCTATTGACTGTACTACAATATTTCATGAAGTAACACAAGTTAGCAACAATGTTAACGGTGAACGTGTTACAAATCTGATTAGAAACACGAGCCTTGTTTAAATACGTGTTTCTTATTCACAACTGTACAATACGTGTCACTAGTCGCCCGTCGGCCTACAACGTGATACACTATTTCAAGACTTTCACTATCGGGGGGCGTAGCTCAGATGGTAGAGCGCTCGCTTAGCATGCGAGAGGTACCGGGATCGATACCCGGCGCCTCCAAGTACACTTTTTGCGGCATTTTTTACTTTTATTATCAGTAATAAAATTATTGTGATAAGACCAATCATTTTAATCCAACTTATCGTTATTATTGGGAAATACAGGTCCATTTCTTAGATATAGGAAATCCCTAGTAACATTTTTTAATAATAGATTGAAGATACCTACATAACGTCATTTTAATACTTTAGGTACAAAATAAGGTATCAGTGAAGGTAGGTTGTTATATTATTAAGTGCATAGTTTCGTGATCGCGTGTCACAACACAATATGGAAGTAACATAATTTATAGTCGAGGGAGTAAATGAACTTGCAGCACTGCCATGGAAACAAGGTATGTTACTGATAAGGCGTTTTCCTGAGACCATTTCCTATTTAATAGGAAATAGTTTTTATAAATAGGTACTTACTTAAAAGTATTTATACTGTAGTTCATGGATGTAAACGCAAACAATACAGACAAGTATTGTGAACGCAATAACAATAAATACCAAAAAGCAAAAAAAGAAATGCAACGATTATTATCGAAAATCGAACGTATTCTTTTTATAAACAACAGATACATACGCAGATAACTGTTTATTGTCCAAAAAGAAATAAAAAAGATTCTGGGGTCAATTAACTCGGTGTTGAACAAGTTCGGACATGTCAAATTAAGAATATTTTAAAGGTCATAGATACCTAACCGGTACCTACACAATAAGTTTTATAGTATCTACCTATTTATGGACTGGTATCACGTAGGGTGGTGAGAAGTAAAACATAATAGGGCAATCAGAAACCATTAAACCGCGACATGATAAGTATTCGATAGGACCCCAACTGCCAAACCACTGATAGGCACCAGTAGGTAAGTACTAATGTTTTCCTATTTACTATCGTTATCTAATTACTAAAAGCATCAGGGCCGGACTGCGGATTTCTGTACGCCTGTGGTACTACAACCTGGGTGGCCAACCTATAGAAGTTAGTAACTGCCATTTTGTTCATGGCAACGGATGTGTATTGGGATCATTGTACCTTTTCAATATTTTTCATTTCATTGTCTTCTATGAGCACTCTTTATTCAGGAGGCCCCCGGCTGCAACCAAAACGGCCAAATATAATATATTGTTTTCCATTTCATGATACCCCTCAGTCCTCACTCACACACTCAAATATCGGATACTGTATATGTGCAACATAGTTTGATTGAACACAGAATAACAATTACGTACATATGTGAAACCACTATTACTTTCTCGTAAGAAAAACCTTTCTCTCAACTACATAATAGAAAAAATATTGAAGTATTTGATAAATAGATATATTATCTACTAACACGGACGTTGGACATGTCTATCTGCCCATACCTTCCCATCCCTGATTAATTTATTTATCTGCTCGCCTCTGTGCAACCGCATCGACTCCGCATCAGTAGACATATTGATTTCCGTCTCAAGAGTTCATTATTAGAATAAACTGCCGTTCATTTCTATCGATGAAAGCGATCCTAACTATGAAATTAAATAATAGGCTTGCTGCTTGCAATTTCTAAATGCATTAGATAAAACGTCCGTTTTTATAGGTAGTAGTTACTTATCAACCGATTTGTTCACAGCTTCATAATATATCTAAGGCGGCAGGAGGACCCATTCATTAAACATATGAGTACCTGCCTAGATCCGCCCCTGAAAAGTTATCATATTATATTATTTTTATTTGGTTGTGACGACACATATTTATTTGCCCTACCAAAGCACCGTTAGGTACTGCGTTGGACAAAACCTTATCGCATGTGGTTTTCGAAACATGTTGATTAGGTAGATATTTCTATGGAGCTATTTTTGTCACGTTCTTTATATTTAACAGATATGGTTCCGTTATGAAACTATTCGTAAATAGCCTATTTAGTTACGCGAAATCTTGTTACGCCACATTTTTCGCTCTCGGTTGGCAGATATTTAAATATTGAGCGTGGCAGTGGCCTGTACTTACGAAGTGCTTAACTTACCTGTCGTTAGTTAAACTCCTACTTACCTGCTGATTTCAAAGAAAAATAAACAACAACTACAATATAGTCGATAACAAAGAGGGGCACCCATCGGCCAATGAATGCGTCGGGATATCAGTAGAAACTATTTTAGGGACTGCTGAAAGTGTTGAAGTTTCTCTAATACAGAACAAGTAGGTTACGTTTATCCCGGAAGTTTGGCCCAAGTAAAACGAGGGCATAAATTATCTACTTATAACGTTCAAATGAATAGCAGCCACGTGGTTGAGAAACGAGCCTGTGTTCGTAGAAACTGGTTTGAATGTTGTCTCACTTATAAAACAATTTCAATTTTGTAATACTTATAGTCAATCAGAGATATCCAAACATTTCTTTAACAGTAATGATAGATAATTGAAACAAAATAAACAAGGCCTCTAATTATTATTTACTGTTTAATCGTTTCTGAATATGTTTTCGGAACAGTTCTAATGACCTTGCTTATCGTTATCATTATAACCGTGTTACGAATACATTGAAGATACGAATATCTTCAATGTATGTAGTTGTTGTAATATCTATAGTTATTTTTATTGCGAAGCGGTGTTGATTGACAATAATCACTCGTCGCCAGTATTCTCAACAAGTGTCCTCGTCTGTCTTTAGATCAGCGGTTAAGTACTAGCCACACCTACCTACATAATTACATACGGACCTACCTACCTACCTACCTGCCACGCCGTCACTACCGTCCACATTACATTCGTATTATTTTCACATTGTGTGATTGTGTGCAATCTTACAATGTAGTGTGAAATCCATGAAATATTCCTTAGTTTCCATTTAACAATCACATTAGAATTCTTTGTCTTTCAGGTAGGGAGGAACACTATTTTTCGCTATGGTTCAAAAGCATGTACGCGGCAGTAACTACCTATAATCAGCTGTACCTTTTTGCTACAAGAAAATGTTTAAAGCCATCATTGTCTAACGTTTCAAACAAAGGTAAAAGCAATTTCGAGCTCTCGTTATGGAAAACTCGCCCGGCTCTCCCCAAACAAATCTGAGCAAGATTCCATTGAAGTGTTGGTATTATTATTCTGTGGGCCTTTGTTACCTGCGCTGGGGGCAGGCTCCGGTTTGTTGATGTTTTTTTGTGAGCATTCCCATAACAGCTGATCAGGAAAACAAACCCACGTGACTACGCCGCCCTCCCATTGGTCAAAACTTGAGAGTCACCCTAAGTTTAAACGAGTCGAACCAGCACACAGATAAACATTTACCCACACATATTTTCCTAACATAATTGGCCCACTGCGCCTTTGTGCATCTGTTACCATCGCATCGTGTAGGTACGGAAATAAAAAAAAATCATGGGGTTGTTGCTTTGAGAAAGCTTATTTTAAACGTTTGTTTGAATTTCATCTGTCCGGTATTACTAAGTGTGGGTTTAATACCAAGCCACAGCCACACCACACACAAATAATAGAAACATAATAAAATATGAATTCATAACGGCGACGAGTAGTAGGCAACATTAGTAACTTGATGAATTAATAAATAATAATATATTAACTGGTTATTAGATGTTGGCATGAGCATTCACGTAGAAATGTCGTGTGTCGGTGTGGACAGGTACTGCCTACACAGCTACACGTAATACCATCAATCACGTTCAGCCAGCAGTTACTCGTGGTCTTGATTTTAATTAGAAGCACGTTATTGTGGATGTCTCTTCAACACTCGATTATGTCATCCTCATCATTCTTATTTCAATAAAAACTGCCCACCGATGCAAAGATATTGAATAGGAAGTATAATTGTATGTCCACGTTTGCATTAAAATAATTATTGACCTTTATATAAAAAAAAAACTAAACCAATCAGCAATCTCACAATTCCACATTTTATTGGCAAAAAACAACGCTCATCGATACATGCCATAATACGCCTAATCGAATGTGATAATTAGTGATGAAGCAATCATTATCGAGGTCACACAATATTAAAATATAAAATAACGAATTAAAATCAAGTAAGAAACTGATTGACAATAAAAGTTTCCTTACTTACGCAATATAGTATGTATGTACGCTATGTTATGTAATAAGTAAAAGTGATTGTTTAGTACTAAGTGTGTCCGATTTACCCCATTCTTAAGGCACGATAATTTAAATACCTATGACAATAAGAATACAGTTACCTAATTACGACGTAATAGGGAGGGGTTTTTAATTAATCTGTTTTATTATAAACATCAAAGATATGCTATGAGGTAAATAAAATACGTGTTCTATTGATAATACTTAGTAGTGCGTCACAATATGGTAATTGAAACGATATTGTGTAAATATTATGGTAAGGAAAACTTTGATTTATCAATAGGTGATTAACATAAAAACAGATATTACCTTAGAATGGTACAGTGAATGTTTAATCTAATTTATTGTTTTTTAAAATTTGTTCGTCATCCATGACGTAAGATGGCTGACCTACACCTTTTTGGGGCACTTAATATAAACAGGCACGCATGTCAATAAACCGAAAAGGACAAAAAACTTTATAAATAAATGTTAAGTAGGCAATACCCCGTAATAACATACAAAACATATATGCATTTTATGATAATAAAGTTAAATCAATTCCCCGTAACGGTCCTCTACTAGGAAGAGGCTACGTGTATTAATTTGAGATAAAGATAGATAGTGTGGCCATATAAATGTTATAAAATATGGTTTACACTAATTTAATTATATTTAATATGGTCTTATTGACGAAAACATTAGTTTTGTACATTGTCTTTACTGTCTACATTTGATTGTAGTCCATAGCAAAACTTATTATATTGACTTATTTTATGTATAACAAGAATATATAGCTTTTTCCGAAAAAGAAAATTACATTTAGTATAGACAGCTCTAAACTTACCCACCGACAATTCTTTGACATTTTGACCTTATACCTGAATACAGCCTAGACTAGCTCGGAGTTCGACGTTTGTTCTTTCTGGGTTTGTAAACAGACTACCGGAGCAGCCTATTAATGAATTCGGAATTACAATAATTAAACACTCAAGTAAGATATTCCACTAGACACCGTACTGGAATGCATATTAGGCAACCAGCTCTGCCGCGACCTTGGTGACTCTATTTAATATGCATGCTTATTTTTATCACAATACAATATCTATTCTATCATTCACTGATGAAATAAAATCTAAGAACAAAAATTACTGTTTGTAGACTTTTTTTGTGAATTTGCATTTTACAGTTCGTTTATTGGAACAATCTATATCTGTGGGAATTCATGGTGGTTCATGGTTCCCTCATGGTGGGTATAAGTTTCGGAAGGTGAATTTGTATGAATTATTTATGAACTAACACTGCCCTGCATTTTACATAGCGCGGTGATAAATTACCTACCTATATCAGTATAACCTTCATCGAGAATAGGAATCATCAGATGTTAAAATATTTGTCTAATCGGTCTCCAGAGATTTAGCAAACAAAAAATCTTTTTTACATTATTATGTTAGGACAGACAGATGATCATGATAGCCCATGTATTGTTCGATGCTGATACTGATTAGATAATATGCTAATGATTTATCAGACTTTGTTTTTTATGGCTTAACTCCACCAACCTTTAGCCTAGCTCTGTAGCGTTATTGATGAAGGTAAGTACGTAGGTACTTACACAAACCAAAGTTTTGAGAAATTAAAACGTGCTTCTAACCATGTCTACACTTATTTTAAACGTGATTTTATTTGTCTTTTAGACACGTACTTACTTTCTATGTAATTATTTACATACTTATTGCAAAATATGTCGAATTATATGGGTACAGAAAACTAACGTTTGTGGTGCAATCATGTTTCTTTATCTAAGTAAACGAACAACATTATTATATGTATTGTATACTGTCTAGATTCATACAAGTTATACTAATCTACTGATGACTTTCGCAAACGGTTCGAGGAAGCTAACAAATTGTTATAAACACGCCATATTGTTCTGTTGCACCATGGAGAATCAAAGATGGCTGCCGTCCTTGTTTGCCGCCCAAACTGTGGCAATATACGCGGTGTTGGTATCGTCGTATCGTTTGTTTGTAAGGTTCTATCAACTCGCGCCACCTTTTTTCCAGTTAGCCGATGCAAATCATTACAAAATAGTGGCAATGAAACTTATTTGCACAAGGTTAAATAAATTATTGTGTAAGTTCCAGATCTTCGTGCCGAGGTTCAAAGCAATCTGTCATTAATCATTATAATCATTAGGTATCAACTAATTAAACCTAATTACTTCCGTATGTAGATACTTACGTAACTGAGTATCTACTTGGTTAATAATAAGTATTTTATTATTGTGCATCTAGGTAGGCTTTTGAATCCCTGTCAATAGATAAATACCTCTAGATTACCTATTTTGCTTCGTAGGTTTGACTAAATAGGTAGGTACATAATATGCTAAAAATATTACATACAAATTTTATTTCTTTACATTAGGAATAGCTACAAATTCATTCACATCTTTAAGGAAACTGATGTTGACAATGGTTCTTATTAGTACCTATTTTACCTAATTGCTAAAAGTACCTAGTGTGAAGCTCTTTGCAAATTATTTAATAAAACCGGCAATTGAGTAAATCAGACAAGGTCTACGCATACCTACTGCTGTACAAAAGCAGGAAAATGTTCACGACAACACGCTAGAACCGCTTTTTATAACGCCTACCGAGACAATGTTAGTAAACAATACAATGCTATTCACATACAACTAATAACAGTTTCTACTTCATTCTTATTATTTAACGGATAGTGCGGGTTTGTTTATGAAAGACAAATTTTCACGCACTTGATAAATAGAGAGTGACCTCCATTCGTGAGATTCGTTTGTCGGGTAAGAGTTACGTAAATATGTTTACACTGAACATCATAACGTAAACAAATGTGACCATAAACTTGATAAACACAGAGTATATAAGTGGGCACATGGAATAGTTCGCTTGATGACGTAACGCTACCGTGCGCGCCAGTTCGCCGGCTCTAACTAAACATGTGACTCGTATAAAATACTATTATGGTAATAATATGAATCAAATTCCTTAGAACTCGTACTTTACGCACAAAAGTTTAGTTGTATGTTTATTCTATCGTGATACTATGGCGTTATGCTCATAACTATTGAAGTCATAATTCTATATGTTCTAATGCTTCGAACTAAAAGCAATAGAAATTTATCCACACAGAATGTAATCATATGTGTTAAAATAAGTTTTATCATTTAATAATAATTATTAATCTAATCTAAACATATCGAATTACATTACTTCTTTAGACTCAGTTCATCTGCATTGTTCATCTAAGTAGGTAGCTAGTGCAAATAACCACTACGAGATCCACTGTTCGAAATCCATATAAAAATAAAATAAATGTTATTTTTAATGTATTGAGGTAAAGCTTAAGTAAATTATCAATTGGTACCTATACATACTAATTATAGTATTATATGGGATTGATATACGTGATTTATTGTTATTTACAATGATGAAAATTTGTTTTCTACCTACATAAAACAATGTCTATTAGATTCGCATCTACGTAATCGTCTAAATATTGATAGATATCAATTATAAAATATGTGCGTAGCCGTAGTTAGGTCACGTTAACTGCGTTGCATAAGTGGGTGCATCTGCTTGACATTTGAATCGACCCCGAATCCGAATAGAAACTGTGTCACGTATGAAGCGTCCGCGGACAGTGGGTACGGGCGGCGTCGGTGCGTTGTGCAATCCCGTTAGCGCTCCACGTGCGAACCGAACCGGCGCGCCTCAATGTCGCCCGTGGGCGGCTGCCCTCCGCGTACCGCCCGCCCACCCGCTGAAAATAGCGAGTCCGCCCGAACGCTGGCCGAAGCGCGTGAGCCACCGAGCAGCCGTCTAGCTCAGGCATGCGGCCGTTGACTCGGTCGTCTCGCTCGCGCGAACAGCTGAGTATCAAAACAAAGGAGCGAGACGGGCGGTCGCCGCTCCCGCTCGCCGGCCGGCCGGTGTCGCCGGTCTCGACGCGCCGCACGCACTCACGCCAGTTCGTGTTCGAACCGCGCTTATTGAGGTCGTCCGCTGTGAGCTCGGTTACGAAGTTTAGTAACGCGAAAGGATTTTCCTTTGTCCCGATCCTCGAGGACCCTGCCCTCGTATTATGTTTCTACGCGAGAGCCGCGACCAGCCCCGGCCTACTGAGGAGCCGGAAAGCGCGCAGCGTGCTGAATCGCGACGAAATTTTGTCAGTTTTCCAAAATTCTGTGACGGTTATCCCGCGAAACGCGTTCGCCGGGCGATTTGAAATTTTGAGTGAAGGTGTGAGTAGAATTATATTTCGGCCATCGGACAGTGTAGTGAGGCCGTGAGTGTCCAACAAATCAAAAAGTAGAGTGAGGACTGAGCACCATGTCCACAGGCAAGCGACTCGCCAAGCGGTCCATCATCGGGACGCGCGTCGCGGCTTTGGGTGATGACGGACTGTACTATTCAGGGATGATTCACGCAGTGAAGACACCGGCGCCCTTCCCAGAGAACAACAATTGCATCAACTTGACTCCGAACACTCGTTACACAGTACGTTTCGACAGTGTTATGATGAAGAACCGCGAGTACCGGGACGCTGAGCTCATCGGACCCGGCTTCCGCGGCATGACGGGGGTGCGTCTCAAAGAAGGGCAGCGCGTCTTCCTCACCTACAACGGCCGCGAGGTGCACGCTGACGTCAAGCACCACGACTACAACACTGACGAACTGCTCGTCCAGATCTACTCTCCTACTTCTGAGGTCAGTTCTACGAATACTGCATTTACTGCACATACTCATTCATTGTCTCATTCTGATTTACAACTTAATACAATTCAATATTGCAACATTGTTACAGAACAAATTAGAGGTTTTATTCGACAAAAAAAGTTCTATCAAAAGACATCAACGACTTTCATAAAACTTTACCACCAAGGCATTTTTTTATACAAAAACAGTACTTGGCGAGTAACACATGCATGGGACAATGATGGATATGCATTTATTTATAATTGGAGCGTTTAATAGTGTGCGTGTGAACAATGATCGGTTATTTGTAGTGTATGCAGTTCGAGGCGATGTTGTAGTGTAGGCGGAGTGGTGGAGCTATTGACCCCGCTCCACGTGCAGCGGTGCGCGATGCACCGGCCGCTGCGGCCGGCTTTGCTTGACGCATCGCACGCGCACGGTGCAACCATGTAACTTATCGCAACGGACCTACACGCGCGGCGCCGCTGCCCGCGCCATCACGGCCACTCTGACTTGTTACCAATACTAACTATACATTCTGCATAACTGTTCCACTAGATATATAGAGTTACATGAAAATTGCTCATGATTCAATTATTGAACTCTAATGACATCATTTATTTATTGTTATAAAAATGTAATAGTGTACAGTAGATGAATAATTTTCCTATGCATTATGTATAGCAGTAGACATAATTACATTGTAATAATGTATTGTTGCAGTGGATCTGTTTTTTTAAACACATGATCACGTTAATCCTTCGACATAACAGGAAAATACGAACTGTAGTATAGATACCTATTAGTTGACAGAATTGTCTGACGCTTAAGTACGGTAGAGGTAGGCATTTAGTATGTATTTAAATAGAGATATTGGGGCTTAGCACCAAGGGCAAAGATAACACTATCGATTATTAAAAATTCGGCAGCACTCGCAAGGTGATGCTTTTATCATTGAAAACATTAAATGCATTTCAATCATTTTACAATAGAGATTAGATAAAGCGGTAGGTCACGACACCAATACAACCGGCTGCACACAGCGCACCATGCACTATCGGCTAGATAAACAAAGAGTACACGTGTCGCCGTTGTTACAGTTACATGTACGTACGTACTTGTTGAAATCAACCCGGCCCCGGTTTAATGCGTAGCACGTATTTGCCGTCGTGTTGCTCAATTCGGGCACGCATGCGCTAAATTTTGTAAGCTGGTTTGACCGTTACACTAAAGTCAAACTGCGCGCCACAGAACAGGTAGCCGAAGATTCCTATAATCACCTCCTCCGGCACTACGCCACAGATTAAAGTAGATACGTAGTTATTGTTCGACGCCGGCCGGCGCGGCGGGCGGCGCGCGGGCAGAGCCGGCCGGCGCGCGCGCGTCATGCGTCATCAGCATCGGCCGGCTTATCGTCGGACACAATTTGTACACAATATTAAATTCGTGTTTAATTTCCACAGCCGATAATTGACCGGTTGACCCAACTCGATATTTAAATCTGGCCGTCAATTTGTTTGTCAAGGCTCGATAAAGGTTTTATTGGCATTACCTTCGTTTTTATATTTCCAGTATAATATAAACCTTCAATTTTATGCGATCTCATACTTATGATATCTTTATAACCGCTGGTCCTGCAGTCCCGTTTTGTAAATTATACCAAAAATTAATTTAGCTATTAAGAAAATTTGGAAAAGTAATGAGTAAAATAAAATCTGAACTTTCGTAATAAAACTAGGGAAATACTAATTAGCTACTCATGTCGCCTCGCTTAGATTGGCAGCACCAAACATGTTGTGTTCAAAGTTTTTACGACAAGATCAAGAAAGCAGTGGCGCAGTGATATTACAACAGTAATAACAATAAGGAAGCGAGGTGCGCGCGCGCAGGCCTTGTGCCGTTGTGCGTAAATCGTGACGTAGCACGCGATACTAGCGTGACGCGACACGACGCGCGCCCGCGCCCGCACCTCGCGCATCACCTCTTTATTTATTTCCAAGAGATGATGCCATATTTATGGTCCATCTCCAGTATTTATTTATTCGTAACGTGTAAACAACCGACACGACGTTTCACATTCTACAGAATCACATAGAACATAGATAATCAAACGTATTTCAGAAAGAATAAAGTTTGAAATGATAAACTACAAATAGTTCCATTACAAAGCTATCTGACATACAACAACGAACATTAGGTAAACGGCGCGATACGCACTTGTTTACTAGTTCGAATGCTGGTGTATTGTACGGATAATAACAGCCATCTACGCTGTTAATATATGAAACAGTTTTTGCGTCACCGCTCGCTAGATAGAGCGGCGCACTTCATGAAAACAACTTGAGAGATAACACGCGATCGAACGACACCAATCAAATGTTTTTCATACGACGTAGAAATGCAGGAGAAACCCAAATTGTATAGGAATTATAGAAAAAATTCTTAATTACAGCAATAGTCAATTTATCAGCAAAATGACGTGCGGTATTCCCCAGGTGCGGTTCTGTACGCTCGCAAGCGTCAGAGCTGACAAACCCGCTCTACATGTAGCTGTACAGAACTGACATACGATCAAACAAAACCTCTCGCTGACTCACCGCCGCATTCATGTTCATAAACAACTATTATTTTACCGGCAAACCCGGACAGGGGAATTACGTAATGAATAGATATCTGCATTTAACGTGTTTAAAACACATTCCTTCCTTACATTATGTATCTGCCACAGAATCCTTGTTACTAATATAGATTACGTTTTGAATAACACTCAGATTTATAAAACATTCGAAAGCGACGCCGCCATATAACGTCAGGCAATAAGATATAAAAATAAAGAGTGCTCGGCTGAGAAATAAGGTCACCGGCAGGCCCGGAACCGAGTAACGGTATTCGTTACAAAATCGCGTCAAGAATTATTTTCACGTGCGCGCGGCGCCGGCGGCCATACCGTTAGCCAGTGGCGGTCCAACGTCAGCTAACCTTACCACAGGCCGCTATTAAGTAGAACACTTATAGCTGTTACAGACCTGACCGAATTACTTGGACTTTGTAATCATGACTTTTTCGTTGTTTAGCTGCTCTTAAAAAAAACTCGAACATTCTTAGTAAAGAAATAACTAAATACTCCATCTGAAACCATACGTGGAAATTACGCAATCGGTATTTAAATCGATTTCCCCAGTATCGGTAACCGGCGAAACGCCTTTCGTTTGTGGAGGTCGTAAACGATCCGAAGTGAGTAGCGAATTGAGCCGGCGCCGGCGTCGGGTCCACAAGCAACGAGTGACGCGCTCACTCCGTAACCACCGCAAGTGTGAAAGTGTCAGCCACACCTGCAGTGTCCACGTACACTGTGTGCTGTGTACAGACATGGACTCTGTTTCAGATTCACTTGCGCGTGGACTCTACTCATACTCGTTGTATATAGAATCGACTCCTGGAAAAACGCCATCTTCGCATACCAAACTAACCGATAATGCGCTTTACCGATATTGTTTTTTTATACCCTTATTTATAGGATTATCTCTACCAGGATAATCCCACAACTGTATACAAAACAATCTGCCACCATTGAATTTCTTCAAGAGTAATTTCTGAATGCAATCTAGATTTCAATTGACTAGTGGTAGTAGTGGTCATGCGAAATTAAATAGAAGTAAACAGAACTACAGAGGTTAATTCTTACATAACCTTGTGAATATAACATGGCTGATGAACATAGTTCTTTAGTGTAATGCAATCGCTTTGAAAATTAACGTCACTGTGTAAAATCCCTGAAATATAGGTACTTTTACCACTTTCGTCTTCTTCTAGAGAATTTAACAGTCTCTGAGTCTTGTTGTAGCATTTTTCACCATACAATCTGACTGCCGACAGAACAGTTCACCAATATGTTTCTCTACTAATGGCGATATTTACTCTTTCGAGTTACGATCACTGAATGGAATCTGCGTTAGCATATAGACGCAAGTAATATTATAGACAGCGACTGTATTGAAGTAACGAGCTAGCACGCGTGTCCGTATAATATAAACTATGGCGACTCAGCAGTTGGAAGACAGACACTAATAACTTACCAACGTTGCAATTAATATCGCATCGTTAGTGAAAGTGGTTATGATTCAAAAGCGCATAATAAATGCGTTTTCCAGATTTTCCAGTCCAGTTAAGATTTTTTTCGATACAACGAAGACACTTACACTCATGGCGCTTACCGTTGCGTGGTATCATCGTCGCGTGTTCGACGCTAGTTTTACTCAGCTTTGACTGTACTGTTTGTTTTCCTACCTTACTTATATTTGTAATTAATATTCATACACATATATGTGCGTATGGGTGTTATTGTATTTCTCTTAACATGAAATTAAATTAACACAATACAATATTAGTAAAAACTTCCTATTATATTGCACAATGACAAATAGACCGTTTTAGATTTAGACGGAGTTTTACCAAAGTTTACGTTAAAAGCGCAAACGGAACTAAGCTGTAAATAGGCCTTGGTGCGGCAACTATGGGAAGAGAAAACTAGTCCCTCGTCGCCCCCTGCGCCGGCGTCGCACCAACCGCTGCCCGCGCTACCGCTGGCCGGCCGGAACGTGACGATACTCTTCACTTTTATTGTGTACGTCTAATCTATCGATATGAGATTAAACAAATATATGCACTGGACGTAATGCTCAAATTATAGCTAATACTATAATTTTACAGTTAGAACGTCTCGTGACATGGTTTCTAAATAATCAAGGTTGATAAGATAACACCAACACAGATTGTTAGTTCAAGACGTAACAGAACGCCGAGAGCCTGATAGCTTAGGGCTTGTTGTAGATACTTCTTGCTTACTTGTTTGGCAACTGCGCCGCTTAAGATAATAAGCAGATAGTATCTAAGCGTCTCAATTCGCACTGCTGCACTGCAATACAAGATTCTTATGTATTCACATAGTATCCATCCCCCGTTAAAAAGAAACAATAGTTCATGACCCACATGTACATATGTATGGGCGTAAA